CAAAGTGAACAATGTGGTCTTGTAAGATAATTAATAATTATTTACCTTTGATTTTGAAGACAAATCCTACATTGTATGGTGTGACTATTAAAGTGAAAGCTCTTTGTAAGTAGTAATATTTTAAAATATGTCTTTCACCATTTTACAAAATGAAGCTTAGAATTTTACTTAAATAGTCCATTTTACAGTTAAAGGTGAAAACAAGGTTGGAGTTGACCTTGTAATGTATTCATACAACCCTTCCTCCTTGATTATGTAAATTATGTTGTTTTTGTGCTAACTAGTATTTTTAAGTATAATTTCCATAAGAAAAGGAAGCAGGTTTGTATCAAAGAAGGTCAACCTCAGCTTTGCATTCACTCAAGGCTAGGATACTAAGCGCCCATAACTGTAACATGGCACATGTGAACTTTGCCTACCTTTGGCAGTGAAATTGTGAAAACAAATGCCATTAGCATGTAATTGAGGAAATGACAAGAGCAATGAAGTTTGATAACTACATGTACAGTAAAAACCAGCATGTAAAAGTAGTGGTTTACTTAAAAAAGCTATGAGCAGAAATGATCCATTTTAATGACCAATAACACAAGAACGTACATGTTTTAAACCAAGAAAGATCAAGCAGGCTCTTTTATTATTGGTTTATAGTTTAACTGTGATAAACTATAGAGATACACTTATGGGTTTTAGAACTGAAGCAAAAACAGTATTTTTCTGCTGCTTAAAGACCATAATATTATATCTTTCATAGAGAAAAATGGACCTAATTATTTTAACCAGAACTTACTAAGTACACATAAATATTAATTGCCAATAACTATCCAAAGTACAAGAACCTATTTTGCCATACAGTCAACTTCCTTAATAAAGTGGACACTATAAGGAGCTTGAGTTAGAGCCTTCATTAGTGATAGTCCATAATAGGAGAAGTTTATTTCAGTCAAACGTCTGTAATTTATTTTTGCTTGGTATTTAGCTGCCGTCCATATTATCAGGGTGTTCCTTATAGCAAGATGTCCACAAGGCGAGAGTTCACTGAATTTCAAAAAGTAGGTTCATCAAACATGCAGGTTTCTACTGTAAGTTAAATAAAGTAAGGAGACTTAACAAAACAATATTGCTAAAATGAAATAATTCCAAGAACTTACGTTTTGCTGAAAAACTGGCTTTTGCAGTAATATCCCTTTCAACACAAGCCCTAATGCCAATCTCAACTTAAGAGCCTTTTTATTGTTAGGCGTGGCCACGTAGTAAACCCTTGTCCACACAGGTTTATTACAGCAACGGGCAGTTCATTTGTTATGCCTGGCCACAAAGGCCCTCAGCCACAGAGGCTAATTACAGCATAACGGCAATGTTATTTGTTATGCATGGCCACGAAGGCCCTCAGCCACACAGGCTGATTACAGCATAACGGCACTTTTATTTGTTATGCATGGCCAGAAAGGCCCCCAGCCACACAGGCTGATTACAGCATAATGGCACTTTTATTTGTTATGCATGGCCACAAAGGCCCTCAGCCACACAGGCTGATTACAGCACAATGGCACTTTTATTTGTTATGCATGGCCACAAAGGCCCTCAGCCACACAGGCTAATTACAGCATAACAGCACTTTTATTTGTTATGCATGGCCACAACGGCCCTCAGCCACACAGGCTGATTACAGTATAACTGCACTGTTATTGGCCGTGCTTGGACATGTGCAATTCATCACATCATAGGCATTAGCGCTATCTTATTGATATGACTGCAAACAAGACACCACCATGCTAAGGCTTTCAACTCTGAACCAATATTATTGTCAACACTTAGACCACATGTTTCAACGATGATCTTGAGACTGAGCCCACTCTACGAGTCTGAGAAAGGTTTCCTCCCTATACACTGGTGCTAACACCCTTCTCTGCCAACACTGAGTTGCTAAGACATGCAGTCTCTCAATCTCCACTGCTCTGGCTCTTGTAGTTGGAGTGTCCACAGGTCTGAATCTGTCATTGTTTATCAATACATCTTCATGAAAAGCAAAATCAGGATCTCTTCCTTCCCCGCCTGCTGATTTTGCTCTTGACAATGCCACAAATAGAGCTCCTGGGTTTCTGGCTTCAAAGCCATGGTCCCCGGGGTGAACCACTACATACCTGAATGCTTCTCCAGCACCCACAGTCATCCCTTGGCATTTGTGGATTGTTGTTCCCCATGCCAGTCTCAATGGAACCTGGAGATGCTTGCATCGACATGCGCAATCAGTGGAACGACTTACTGGTACAATTGGCACAACTGTAGGATCTTCATTACTGTACGGTGGCCCCCTATATCCTGGAGACCTCACCAGAACCACATCAGGTACTGGAGCAGGATCATCAGTAGGTCTGCAGCCATCTTTGTACACAATGTCTACGACTGCACCTACCGCCCCATTGAACAAACCCCAATCAGCCTTTAAGTTAACCACCAGCATGACTTTGCTGTCACGGGAAAGATACAGTAAAGGTAACAATCATCCCGCCTTATTACTGTCGGCCTTCACTGCATGTCGGCCATTGTGAACTGCCTTGATCTTTGCTACTGGGTGGTTTGGCTGTCTGTTACACTCAAGCAGCTTTGTTTTATTACGCTGCCATTCAAGACGGTGCGTGGGAAATACGTACAGACCTTGCTCATCCATCCTAGCAAGGAGTTCTGGCCCGTGCGACGTGCGGAGATTGTGCCATTGAAACTGTTGTAGCCAATGGATTTGCTGGGGTGTTGTGGTATAATTTCTTAGTGACATCAACACATCTCTCAGCTGTTGTTCAGATTCATTCTGCCTTATAATCTGAGTAAGCTCAACAGCACTATCAAACATTGTCCAAACCAAATGACCGTGGTTAGACGGTGCACTACGACAATCTGAGATGTACACAGGGGTGTCACATACAGGAGGAAGCTGAACATCATCTCCCATAAACACTGCCACAGGAATCCCTCCCCATAACTGATCTGCATTGGCTCCTTTGTTGATTGCATAACGTGCATGCTGTTCCATCCAGCCCATCCGTCCAAACATTGATCGTTCATCCCCAACCAGAACTTTCAGATTTTCGCACTTTTTCTGCATTTTCTCCAGTAAGGGACCTGTAGGTACAGTCAACTCATTGCAGGCCAGGGCCTTCCACCTGTCGGTACTCCTAGAAAGCTGTGAGCTGTACTGCCTTGAACGAGATAGGCAGCATTCCCCGTTGGAGTTATCACCTGTATTGCATCATTGGCTTCGAAAACTTGCCGCACTAACCTCTGGAGACACTTTATGACATAAGACTTTCCTGTACCAGCAGTTCCAGAGACAACAAGCCGCAGTGGAAGGTAATATCCACTGTTTTCAACAAAGTTGTACAGGGTGTGCAACACAAGCCCCATTATGGCTTTCTGATTCTCATTTAGAGACAACGGACACACCTGAGGTAAATCAAGGTCTGTACTTTCTGTCTCCTGTTCATCATCCACTTTAATGCTTTCTTGAAGCCATTTTGTTGGGTATTTTCCTTCGGGGAGAATAATACGGGTACTGCTCCAGTCATAGTCCTCCCCACCATCATCATAATCAAAGTCTCTCTCTACACCCTCATACATTTGGTTCTGCCCTGCATATACATCCACCCAGTCTGGCTGTTCTTCTGCTTCAACAGCTCATCTTCGTCATCCTCCTCAAATACTGGTTCTTGTGGGTGGTCTGCAAAGCGCCGTGCCTTAGCAACTTGGGCCTTCACAAATGTTGGACAGTCATCACCTGCAAAAAAGTCCTTAAAGCGATCAATCCAAGATTCTGCATCCCCCTTCACTTCTTGGATGTCAAACCAGCTTGGCCAGTGTAACAGGAGCATGGTCCTACAGTAGTCTTCATTCAGTGGCCATGTTGCGTGCGTAGAACCACCACTTACAACAGGAACATTACCATTCTTAGATGCAAAGTGGTACCAAGAACAGTGTTCATCTTGCGATCGTGCAAGGTACTTATCCAGTGGGGTGCTGCGAGTTGCAGTTTCACCATCACGTTCAAGTCTCCTTGACCCTGACATTGACAAGTAGGTAAATGGAAGGCTACATCGCCAAAGTGCTAGCCCAATCAGCTCAAAAGATGCCTCCGGTCCACTGATATCTCGTCTTCCTACCGTCTTTATCAGCATCTTAGCACACATTGACTTGCCTGTCACCTGGTCTGCATCACCTGCATCAACAGCATTCACCATGTCCTTAAAGAGATCAGAAGTTGCACCAGTAGGTTCGCTATCTTTGCAAGCATATCCACACACATAGCCAATAATGGCTATGATATCATCTGTGCTAGGATTGTCCGGAGGGGAATTGGAAAGAATCAAGCTTACATCCCCATTTGCTCTCCACGATTGTAACTGATAACGAGAATGCTGAACCACACGTGGATGGTCACGTGGCATCTCTAGGTGGGGAGCTCCATTATGATCTTCCACAATTTCCGGATTACTGTGAATCTTTTTACCTGGGCGGTACTCGCTTCCAAATTCCATCCGACATACACGTTCTCTCGGCTGCAGTCCTTGCTCCGGATGGCGAGGAGTTCTCAAGCAGTAATCAGAGCAACTGTGGAGTCCAACCCTGTTTACTAAAAGCAAATTATCCTCCAGTATTGCATCTTGTGTTGCAGCTATTTGCATTAGCACCTTAACTAGGGGATCCCTATCATCTGATATGGGCTCAGCCGTTCCCTCAGGTGGTGGCCAGAGGTCTTTTCTTGGCTGCCCTTCTTCATCATTGCCAGCTAGATGTAATGCTGTCATGGCAAAGGTTTCATACGCCCACTGACTGAGTCTAGCTGCATACTCTTCATATTCGCAACCATCTTCACAAGCTTCATGCAATAGCTGATGCGGTTGCCTGTCTTCCCTCCAGCTGAGTTGGTGCCAATGAATTTGACCGCGGGACTTGGCAAACTCACAACGGTACCAATAATCAGAGACACCAAATACCGGCTTCAGTACCTTCTCATGGTATGCCTGGGTACGCAGATCAAAGTAACTCACCACCACGTGAGTATTTTCTTGTACTGCCTTGAAGCGGGCATTGCTATCTTCAGCAAGGTTGACTTCTTCACCTTTGGTCTGCAAGATGTACTCTTCCAGTAGCCTTCTAAGAGGAGGAAAGTAAAACTCAGCACAGCTTCCAGTCATGAAAAATGAGGGTAACCCACGCTTCTCATTGACCATGAACTCCACAAGGGCACGAAGTTCTCTGCGTCTCTGCTGCCAGTACTGAGCTATACCACGCAGATTTGCGCCAAAATACAAGAACTTGTCGGTAAAAGTGTCACCTCTCGCAAGTCGCTCTTGCAGGTCTGCAACAGTTATGTGTGGGTCACCAAGTTGCTGATCAACAAAGAACCGGCTCTGCTTCAGGGCACGCTTCCTCATGATCATATTGTGAACAAAAAACTTCCACACCTTATGCCTAGCAAACCTCCCATCTTGGTACCACAGCAGATGCTCTGCCCAGTCATGCAGTGAAGGATATGTCACTGGCCGGTTTATGTGGAAATCACCCTTTCCATAGGGAAACAAACAAGGAAATGCCATCGTAAAAAAGTACGGAGTGGTAAACTCTGACGCTGGTGTCGTGTCCGTGGTCGGTCAAGGAATCACTGGTCGTTCCCCTCTTCGTCGTGTATTTTCTGGTTCACCCTCACTAGGTTCTGATACAACTTCATTTACGGCTGCTTCAACTTGGGCTTGTACGTTAACGCCAGGCTCAGGAAGAATTACTCCAGAGACTGTAGAGTCATCAGTACAATCTGTTTCCCCAGCATTCAATTGCTGTGGAGCCGGGCCTTGGTCATCTACCCGTTCTGTTTCAGAAAACTCAACAGTTCTCAAATTGGGCAACTCACCATCTTCAGGTAAATTCTGTATGCGAGCACCATCAATAACAACATCACCATAGGCAGGATTGTTGTCCTTCAACCAACGAAGGGCTCCCTCAACACGGTGTCTTCTAACCCTGAAGTCCTTATGGGTATCATCTTTTCCTTGTCTTCTCACGCGTATGATATCCACCTCTGCCGGTAGTCGTGGAAGAATAGTTGCCGGTTCTTGCACAGCCTGTGGGAATGCAATGCAATGCCCCTTTGAAGCGATACCTCCATGCTTCAGTAAGTGTACATGCACGGTAGGTGCTAGCCTGGCTATCAGCATCTGTTCAGCATCTGACATGTCAGACAAAATCTTAGGAACAGCCATTGGATCCATATTATTCTCTCCTGACCAAACTTTTGGTACCTTCTTATCTCTCCTGCAGCGAGTACACATGTTTCTTGTGCCCTTGCACTCCAGTCGTCGTTCCTTGCAGACCTCACAAAAACTGAATGCATAAGTCATCTGCTCCACCTCAAATGCACGAATAGCACTGTACGCCTTATCTTCTTGCTGACTTGAACCTGCTGGTGGAGGTGGAGGTAGATCTCGAACAACTTCTGGCAACCTTTTCTCTTGTTCTGATATTCGTCTTTGGTTTCGCCGCTTTCTCTTTCTTCTGTCATCCTCTGTTTCCACTACACCAGGCTTTGCAAACTCATAGTCCACACCAACTGCCCTTGCTCTAGCAATGAGACGGTCATCTTCTAACTGGCTACAATTATTTTCTTCTGGAAGAGATTGATGTGTTCCCTGCGAATTGCTTGCTCCCTCAATTGGGCCATTTTCTACTACAGGAGTGTCCCTTTCCAACTCTTCTCCTAGTGAATGAATTATTTGTATTTACCAACTACACAATTAATATAAGGTATGGGGCTGGTGGATTGTATTTTTTATCTTGCTTGAGCGATAAGTGTTTTTTGGGGGGGTATTCAATTGCAGGAACTGTTGAAGCATAATTAAAAAAGCTGTGACTTTTGGGCTAATTAAGTTGCAAGCTACAGCCTGCCCAAATAAATCACACTGTAAAACTGAGTTTCTTTGCACCCTTAAGAACTGTTTGTGTAACTGTACAAGCATTATCATTATTACAATGCTGTATCTTTTGAAGTGTTCTCAAAACCTGATTTCAAAAGAAAATACACCATATACTTTCCAAACTCAAGATAATACAACAAGGCTTGACAATCATTTTCTAAGTGGTGATATTGACTGAACTTTCATAAATCAGTCATCAAATAATCCCAGTGACCAAACCAATCAATTATTAATCATAGTTATCATTAGGAAAATAGTTATCTCTATATGAATTGTATGTATTTTTAACTGTGTGTAAATTAAAGTAATACAAAATTAAAGGAACATTTTCCGATAATATGTACAATCAAATGCCAACAAAACAAAAACTCCCACAAACCAGTCAGCCGAATTAAGTATACAGACATGATGTCTTGTCATATTAACCACAACAGCAATGCTTGAAATACACGAGAAAAGGCCTCATTATTAACGAATTATATCGCTGCTCTTTTGAGTCCATCAAAAAATATATAATTTATGAAAGTTTTAACATTCCTAATTGTCACACATGCATACACCTTTATATTCAAAATCTTGATAACAACAATAAAATAAAACACAACCCACAATGAATAAATAAATAAAAATGATCAAGTACATTTATAAAATAAAATGTAAAGAAGAAAGTGTTAACTTACAAAAGAAAAAGGATAAAACAAAGTATGCATGTTTCCCGGCACCTGATTGGTTCTGATCTATATTTCTATTAATGTTTATTAGCCAATCACAGGTTTTCATTATCTGAGAAATTTGCATTATTTCCCTTTCTGTATTTGTGTTTCCTCGTTTTTGCACTGTGTTAATTAAAAACTGCACTGCTGCTCTAAGGCAATGCGGTTCAAACTTTTTTCCTGTATATTATTAACTTTCATAATAAATACCATCTGCCATAATCAACTACATTAGTACCTGCTAAAAGTCTTTGCTCCTGTTCACCTACAATAGAGCATTCCATCCTACATTCAACTTGGAGGATCTCACTTTCATGTTCTTCTATGACTAAGAAGATAAGATTGGGCAAGGACTTTCCCTCACCCCTACATATTGAGCAATTGAAAAATAAAAGAGCTGATCAATCTTACAATAGACAGTTTACTACACTGTTCCCTCCAATAAATGAAATATTTGGCTCCTAATTAAGTTGATAGGTACTGTAGTGAGTTACATGTAAAAACAACCAATCCACAAGACCAGACCGCCAAGACTCAAAATTACAGGCAGTCAACGTAATATGTTGGGTCAAGATTTGGCCGGTCAACATTAAGGCCCTGAAAATTGAAATAACTGCTTTTACATGGCTTAGCTTAATTTTTTTAAGAAATGTTACTTTCGTAACTTGATAACCACACTCAAAAGTGGTTTATAATAAGATATGTTCGTCCTGAATTCAATATTTTCAAATCTCGCAATACAAGGAGTCTTTGAGCATTTATGGGGAAATTTTTTGTCTTAATTTGCCTGTTACTGCAAAGTACAATGTTTTCAATACAGTAAAAACCTGTGACTGAGAACCTGGTTTTTAAGAACCTGTAAGGCTATAAATTTGCCAGTTAAGCCCCCTCCATACAAGAACCTAGCCTGTTCCAGGTGTTCAGATAGTAGAACCAGCTGGCGGTAAGTGGGGAGCGAGTTAAATTGTACACCGAGAAAACAGGGGGGGAGGGGGAGGTGTGCGTGTGAGATCATTTATGGAAGCCCACAAAGGCACAAAAAAATCTTATTTGAAAGGTTATTTAGCCGCAATAAAAAGATTAATGCTTTAACAGAGGTCAAAGAAAATCAGTACCTAACTGCATCTGGAATCAAATTCTTTCAGAAAAAAACTGCAGGAAATAATTGCCCAGTATACATGACTGACTGTCTCAATGTTTGACTCAGAGCGACATAAATTGGATTTGGTTAGTCAAAAGAAGGAAAACCTCTGATGTTATTTATTTGAAAGCTAACTCAAAGGTCACGTTTCATACTATCACCAGCTTATGGGTCCTGTCTAGCCTGTAAGCACTTTGAAGTTCATGTCACATACATCAATTAAGGGTGAAAAGAGCTCTATAAGGGCTCTGTAAGGGGTTCCCTCTCCTTTTCCCCCTCTAGTCTCCTTCGTTTCTTTTTTTTTTGCTTCGTGAATTCTTCTCCCACGCTCTACTATCTGAATGCCTGGAACAGGCTAACAAGAACCTAACCCTGTGTATCCTAAATATATTTGAAAGACATTCCTATTTTCTTAAATCTATATGACAAAATTCTTTTCACTTGAAAAATATTCAGGAACCTCTTTGGGAGACATCACCCTACTGAAAGCCTCTTTATAAGTACTCTTTAGCCACAATGTTTTTCATTCATAAAATAAGAACCTATATATTTTAGAAAATAGCCAAAATTTAACAAATAACTATTTTTGAAAGAACCTGTTCAGGCTATATACAGTGTATGAGAAAATGCAGGTTCTTACTCGTGGATTTTTACTGTATTTTGACCGGTCTGAGCTACAATTTGTTGGGCAGGAAACAATGACCGAGCTAAGATTTGTTTGGCCTCTCAACGTGACCGGCCACTATTTTCGAGCACTGACTTCACATAAAAAAACATAAGAAGATAGGTATCTACAAAATGGAAAGGCCGAATACTAAAAAAAGATATTTCAATTACAAGAGGGAGAATAGCCAGCCGGATACCTCTTAAACTTGAAAAAAGCAAATAAATTCTGTTTACCCTAAAAAAGTAAATAGCGGGCCTGCATGAACCCGAACAATCTGCAACAAATTAGCTCTTTCAAAAAGCATCATGGCAAAACCAGGGCAAAACATCTTCAAATTCAAACCACTGTTCGCCGGGCACAAGGATGGAACAGTGACATCTCAAAGACTTTTCAGAAAACACAACAACGCTTTCACAGACATTAGGCCGTTTACATGTAATTTACGATCCTCTAAAAAAAATTTTCACTTGTCACAAAGGCCAGAGTCGCGGCAAAAGTTTTTAAGCTTCCGTAGGCTAACAGAATGAAGAACGGTCACGACAGGAGTTTATTGAGCGATTCACCGCACGGTCGGATCGGACAGAAGGAAATGTCAATGGTTATTTAACTAAATTCTCGATGAAATATTACATAACTTGCACATTTACATGTAAGATTACCTTGGGTTTTCCGCGAAACAGAAAGATCGAAAATACATGAGTATTATACTGTAACATCTTTGATGTGCCTGTCTTGTTAAATTGAAACTTCAATTTCCTTTCTTTTTACCGAACTTAAACACATGTCAAAATATATTAACCGCAGCGAACTACTAAAGACGGAATACACTTCCCTCAAGATAAAATATAGGATCTCCGACTGTCTGAAACTCGACACTGCGTGACAACAAGTGACGTGTGCTGACTGGTCAGACGAACAAAACAACAGCTAGTCAGACTGAGTTTTCAACATGTTTTTGTAAAAACCACACGCCTTCTATCCGCTACAATTAAACAGTAAACTAACCTCGAAGATAGTCACTCACCTACTCCTCCTTCCCGCTCGTCTTCGTTTATACGACGCCTGTTTCCCCTTGCTGTTTCTCGCTCCCTTCTTTAGGCGCCGCTCGTCGCTAATTCGGCGTCTATTTTCTCTTGCTCTCTCTCGTTCATTCTCGAGTTGCTCTTCAGTGAAATTTTGCCTCCTTTCTCTGTTTCTCTCGTGCTCCCTGTCACGTTGCTCATCAGTAAAATTGCGCCTCCTTTCTCTATCCCTTTCCTGCTCCCTCTCCCGTTGCTCGTCAGTAAAATTGCGCCTCCTTTCTCTATCCCTTTCCTGCTCTCTCTCCCGCTGCTCGTCAGTAAAATTGCGCCTCCTTTCTCTTTCCCTTTCCTGCTCTCTCTCCCGTTGCTCGTCAGTAAAATTGTGCCTCCTTTCTCTATCCCTTTCCTGCTCTCTTTCCAGTTGCTCGTCAGTGAAATTGCGCCTCCTTTCTCTATCTCTTTCCTGCTGTCTTTCCCGTTGTTCGTCAGTATCATTGCTTCTCCTTTCTCTGTCTCTTTCTTTCTCTCTTTCCCATTGCTCGTCAGTGCAGTTTCGCCTCCTTTCTATAGCTCTCTGCCGCTCTCTCTCTCGTTGAGCTTGGCTTGCTTGCCGCCTACTTTCCCGTTTTCTCTGTCTCTCCCTGTCTCTGTACTCCAAACTAGAGGACATAATCAGTAAAAAATTTGCAAAAAAATATGGAAGTAAAAACAATTTACATCAACCGATAGGAAAAATTTCTTTTTGTTCTGAATTAACTTCGCTGAACTAAATTGCTTGGTTGCTTACGCTTTACAAAACGCGGGTGGCCATTCGT